TTTGCTGAGTTGCCCAGTGCCCATTGAATTCTAGCTGATTTTAGCAATTGTTGGTGTTAAATATATTTGTTTACTATGTTTACGTTTTTCACAAATTTTTGTATGAGGGGGCCTAATTGTTAGGCGGATCGACTCGCCATTAACAAAAGTGCATACTTATGTTATGCAATGCCATACTTTTTGTTTATGTTGATTAGTAGAGTATGACATTTTAGTTCGAAAGCATTCATATTTGTTGGAAAAAAAATATAGTTCAACTGTTGGGCCTGCTTAGCTGCTGCCTTGCTGCCTATAGCGTTGTTAAGATTTTCTATCAACATCGTTGGTAAAGGCTTTCTCTTTAGTAGTTGAGACTTGAGGAACCCTAAGGTTAGGGGTGCGTAAACAAAATCGGTAAAAAGCTTGTGATAGAATTTGTTTAGGGCTTGTTCATGTGAGTTCTTAGTTATACGAACATTCAATGAATAAATTTTGGAGCTTATTAAGCTAACGGTTTTTAAACTGAGTATAAGAGCTCGGGAGCAGCTCGATTGTGAAATTTCTTGAACAGCATAATTCCTTCGCTCAATTAAAAGAAATGTAATAGGTTAGGTTTATATTAAATATTCTGTAATCTATGCTTAATTTTCTTGTCTAATTTTTTGTTTCAAGAATGTTTTATTGTTTACTGACAATATTAATCAATAATCAAAGAACCGACTCACATATATGAAAAGATATTTTGATTGTCATGCATGCTTGACATGTGGAGTTCTTCTTAATTGGTAAATGGTTAATATGAGACGCCATGTCTCTCTTGTTCGGTAATCACCCCTTCAAAATTTATGTGCAGTTAATTCAGAAGAATTGGTATTACTATGTATTAGTGTATCTTCATTAAAAGGTCTCCATTTTTGTAGTTACAAAATACATAAATAGAAACATGAAGTGCTATTTTGCATGGCAACGTAGGCAGAAAATGACGAATGAAGCTTTAGTTTAATCTAGATTACTTAGTTCCTACTATACCCTTTGAGAACTTCTTACAAGTGTGAGATATACTGATATTTTACGTGCTTACATGTGAACTTATTATCAGTCATTACGGCAGTCAGATGTAAATCTGCCATGTTTAGTAATCACCATATCGATAAATATATGAAGTGTGACAGAAATGTCCTTCTCTTTTGCTTCGTATTTATGAATCGAACATGCTTATGCAGACATTAAGGTTTAATGGGCAGTCAATTTTGTTCACCTTCATTTCAACTTGTTTTCTTTTTTCTACCTATCTTCCCTGGCTTCAGATTGAAATTGTTGTGGCCCTAAATATGCTTGACTGTTGTTTCTAAAGCTATTGAATACCAGTTCTGTTTTGATATTGTTTACCATCATAGGCTTTTACACGTGGACATAAAATCACCAGGTACCATGGTTGCTTCTGATTTCTCTCACTCTGAATCCCCAATATAGATCTTAAAGTGTTACTTTTGCAATTTTCATTCTGACATTTAAAAAACAGTATGGATATGAAGAAGCTCATTCGATGTGCCATTTGCAGTTGATGAAGAGTTTGGGAGTTATGTTGGTTTAGTTAATTGTTTAGGGTTTTCTGTGCAGTGGTCCTCATAAGGTGACCTATGTTGACTGCTGGGGAATTTAAATTTAAACACATTGACGAGTCGTGCGACGGAACTGTAGTACAATATCAATATAATACATGCATGTGGTTGGAGTAATAATTTAATATACTCCACAATGTATATGGTTGGCTGTCCAAATATTCAGCTCTTCAAGTCTTTAGCACCATCTCAATTATGTTGCTGTCTTTTTTTGGATGAGAAAATTCTAAAGCATCCAATTAGCCAATGTTTTATTTCTTAATTAAAATTGAGTCGGAACATAAATCCTTTTCTGGTAAGAATTATTCACTGGATTTGTAACGAGTTGCCATTATTTGCCAGTCATCTTCAATATTGGAATGTACTTCTTTTTGTCCTTTTTTTTCCCTTATTTTTATGGAGAAGTTAATACAATTATCTCTCTTCTTATGCTAATAGAAGAACGAGATGCTCTAAGAACGTCAGAGAAATGCTTATGTGTTGAGTCATAGAGCTCGTAACCTGGCTAGTGACCGTTTGTACCCTGCACGAGCCTCAGCAAGATCGTAACCGTTATGCCAATATTTGGACCAACTTAAACTTTTTCTCTATTATTCCACCATTGTTATCAGTAAAAAAATATTCTATACCATCTGATATCTTTATATTCTGTATAGAATATAGATCACTTTCTAGGTGCACATCATCATAACCAACTTTACGCATAATCATTTTTTATAGGTCTTGTTAAGTTTGGTGTTGAGACAATACTAACTTCTGCCACTGATGTTGCTTCTGGAAGCCTTATCGTGTGTAAATATAATTCGATATTAGCATGGTACATCTTCACATAAGAGTACCATTCCTGTACACAAGATCTATTATGTCATCACTTTTATTACTTGTGTCAATATAAGCTCACTGTCAAACTAAGATTAGGCTCTTCTTTTTCATTACATCACACCCGTCAAGTCATGCATATTAAAATCTGTCTTACATCGTAGAATCTGTTTCCACCACTCTCTCTTTTAATTGCGATTCATCAAAATGTTTAAGCTTTTTAGATGAGGTAGTCATTCACTTGATACACAAACCATGAAAGATTTCAATGCAAGAAATAAAAGCTTTTATTAATAAAATAGACAACTTTAGCTGGAGAAGAACATAGAAAGACCTCATCTGCCTAAACAGGACCCACTAAGATTATTGACTCTTTCTTCTACAGTCAATAAAAATAAACCCAATCCCTAGTCCTGATCGGCATTCTCCATCCTGACCTCTCGTTCACGCCTGAGGATGGAGATCCAATTTTTGAGGCACAGCCTCGGGATCCCAACCTCCGCGCACACCTGCGCCACTTCCTCCGGCGAGTACTCCTTGAACATTTTCCAATTTTTGCTTTCAACAATTTCCCTTAGCCTCACCTTCTGCTCGCTTGTCATCCTTCTCCTCTGAACTGCGGGCTCCTCCTCCTCCTCCACCTGCTGGTTCACCATTCTGTGGATCTGAGGCCCGTTAGGGGGAAGATTGGCTATTTCGGGCTGTGGAGCCTGCTGGGGTGGGTTTTGCTGTGGGGCCTGGGCCCGGGGTTGCAGATCTGTGATCTCCGGTGGTGGGGCCCTGTCGAACCGGGGGAGGGTGACCTCCACCCGGCGGTGAAAGTTGCGGTGGCAGCCACAGGCAGCACACTGCAGGAACTCCGGGCTCCCATTTGGGCCCTTGGGCTCAAACATGAGACATCCGTCGAGAATGTATCGTCTGAGGGGAGCCCCGTGGTTGTGCAGGCACTCCCGATGCATGACAACCACTAATTCGAGCCGTAAGCCGTTGTTGTTTGTGTT